AGGCAAACCATGAGAGACTCTTGAATGCTGACAAAAACTGAGGACTGATGGATGTGGGGGGGAGGGGGAGATGGGCATGAAGGAGGGCACTTTGGGGATGAGCACTGAGTGTTATGTAGAAACTAATTTGATAATAAACTATTTGTAAAATAAATAAATAAATAAATAAATAAAATAAAACTGTTAAAAGAAAAAAAAAAAGAAAGGAATAATGAAAAAAAGATTGAGAAATACTACTTTAGGGAGATGAGCTTTTGTTTTTGAGTAGGGCTCTTTTTCCACTCTGTACTTTGTGAATAATAGACAAATTAATTACGCAAATAATCCTTGTCTATAGACTTGCAAATTACCTGTGCACACTGGAAAGATACCCACCCCAGATACCCATCACCAGGAAAAAGCCAGTTTTATGTCCATTTGTAATTCAGTATTCATTTATTCCATGTAAATTTGTGATTCCTTAATGTCTTCTTTGAATTGGTTGAGACATTTGCCTGCTTCCCTCATTTAATAATTAATTTAACAAGTGTTTATTTCATAGTCATAATTTTACCTTTTGAAAAATATATAATTTAATACTTTCATTGGTTCGTACAGACCTTGACATTACATTAAAAACTTTCTATGTCCTTATGTATTTTAAAGGTTGTAAATATTCTGTGACATGAATACACCAGGTTTTTTTAAAATGTATCTCTTATTGTTAAAAAAAAAACAATTTTTCATGAATAAGCATAGGTTTCTTTCTTAAAAACATGTCAAATGTGGAAAGTCATGAAGTGTGTCAAAAGTCTGTTACTTAAATTTTTTGGCATGGTGCTTGTTTGCTTTTAGTTCTTGTTGATTTTTTTGAGGACATGACCAGTGGACATAAAGGCCAATGCTATTTTCATGGCTCTGTTGACAGAAGGTTGCATGTGTTGCTACTATGAATCTAAGATCATTTTGGGGAGAGCAGTGTGCCCTGGCCTCATCAGAGGTACTTGCCTTGGCTCAATGTGCCTGGTCCAGATTCTGGTTTGGCTTACGTTTTATTTATTTCAGTAACATGGAAGGGCCACTGTTTGTCTAAGCTTTACATTTACATTGCCAACTCCTCTTGCCCTTCTCTTTACCCTCTTAGTGCACTGAATATAACTTCTAGCTCCTGCGTAAGTGTTTTATAGTCTTTAAAACTGCAAAATTAGGAGTGCTTGGGTGACTCAGTCTGTTAAGCCTGTGACTTTGGTTCAGGTCTTGATCTCGTGGTTTGTGGGTTCGAGCCCTGCATCTGCCTCTGTGCTGACAGCTCAGAGCCTGGAGCCTGCTGCAGATTCTGTGTCTCCCTGTCTCTCTGCCCCTCCCCTGCTCTCTCTCTCTTTCTGTCTCTCTTTTTTTTTTTTTTTTAATTTTTTTAATAAATATTTTTATTTATTTATAAATAGGAGAGAGAGAGACAGCATGAGCAGGGGAGGGTCAGAGAGAGAGGGAGTCACAGACTGAAACAGGCTCCAGGCTCTGAGCTGGCAGTCAGCACAGAGCCCGACGCGGGGCTCGAACCCACGAACCGCGAGATCATGACCTAAGCGAAAGTCGGACGCTTAACCGACTAAGCCACCCAGGCGCCCCTCTTTCTGTCTCTCTTAAAGATAAACATTAAAATTTTTTTTAAAGCCCTGTAAAACCAAAGTCAGAGTTTTAGAAATGAATTTTCTCAGTTTATCTTAAAAATTGTGTTTAACTCTTTTGTTAAACCTTCCTCTCTTTGTTTCTTCCTCTTGCCTCCTTCCTCAACAAATCTCTTTGCAGTTGGTAAATGAATGACTTTGGGCAGCAAGTGACAATTTTCAGAATAATGTTTTTAACTTGCAGGAAACCAAATAAATAAATGTTTCATGCACAGAGGGGAAGACAAAAGATAAAGTGGATTTTTCAAAGTGGATACTAGTTTTAGGATCAGAGTAATGAAGTAGAAATCACCTCACCTATTATCCTATAAGGCAAACCCATTGTTATAAATCTATATATATCCATTCTATCAATATTTTTCTCATTCTGCTACAAGAAATATAAAAGGTAACACTTTCAAGATCAGCCAGCATGTTGTAAAGCATGCCAAATTAAATCCAGATCAAGAAGATGATCTAGATCTTTGATTTTTAAACTGAAGAACATTCCAAGTTTGAACTTTTGATAAAATCTATTAAACATTTGCGGAAGCAATCCTTGGTAAGTGTGCAATTCTTAAGTAATCTCTCTGCCTACAGCAGTGTCTAAATTAAGCAAATTGCTTTTTTAAAAAAATATGATAATGGATTTTATCTTTATTACATACATGCATTTGAAAATTAATACCCAAATGACAATTCCAATGTTAAAAATGAGCAAAGACATAACCCTATGGTCAAAATGCAACTCTGAAGTCAATATTAACTGAAGCATAACCCTACTCACAAAACAATTGCCATCTAAAGTATGTGTGTATTTTAGCATCTTAATCATTTTCAGGTTACAGATCAGTGGCATAAAATACATTGTTGTACCACCACCACCACCACCATCAATCTCCAGATCTCTTTTCAGATTCTCTCCATCCCCTAGGAACAAATGAGTTTCTGTCTCCATGAATTTGACTACTCTAGATACCTAGTGTAAGTGAACTCACACAGTATTTGTATTTTTGTGACTGGCTTATTTCACTTAGCATAATTTCCTCAAGGTCCACCTATGAACTAGCAGGTGTCAGAATTTCCCTCCTTTTTGAAGCTGAATAATATTCCATTGTATGCATATGCCGTATTTTGCTTAGCTATTCATTTGTGGATGGATACGAGTTGCTTCCACCTTTTGGCTGTTTTGAATAATACTGCCATATGGGTATGCAAATGCCTGTTTAATTTCCTGATTTTAATTATTTTGGGTAACCTGCAAATGGAATTGCTGGATCATATGGTAATTCTATTTTTAGTTTTTTGAGAAACCGCTACACTGTTTTTCATAGTGGCTGCACCACTTTGCGTTCCCACTAAGAGCACAGACAGATCCCAGTTTCTCTACGTCCTTGCCAACTCATTATTTCCTGGGTTTTTTGGTTTGTGTTTGGTTGTTGCTTTTTTTCTTTTTTTGACAGGAGACATCCAAAGCATTTCCCTAATGATAAATGATGCTGAACATCTTTACACAGGCTTATTGGCCATTTGTATCTCTTTTTTGGAGGAATGCCTGTTCGTGTCCTTTGCCCCTTTTAAAATCAGATTGATTTTTTTTTAGTTAAGTACTTGCATTTGTATGTAGATGTTGGAAAATTAAGTTTCATGAACTAATGACCATAGGAATTTTATTCACATGATATCCAGATAAATCTTTGAGATAGTTCAGAGAATTACCCAGCTAATGATATTGGAAGAACTCCCTTGAAGATATAAAAACAATACATGCTTTTTGTTTGAAGAGAAGACTCGTTTATTTCCAACCAATAAGATCACCAATACTTAAAATTCATCTGACATCAACCAAAAGATCAGCCACTTAAAGATACAGAGGCTAATTTATAACTAACTTTTGTGACTATGGATAGGTGATAGTTGACTAAAATAATCCTATAACATATCAAGTAAGTACTACCAGGTGTTAAATGAAGGGCAAGTTCTTGGATGGTAAAGGGATGAGACCTCTCAGTTTAGATTTTAGCAAAGGGTCAAGGATTTGTTAGTGTCCTAGTGAAGTATGCTGAAAGTGCTAGCTTGTCCTTAAGTTGTGGAAAGAAAGGTTGAGGAATGGGTACTAGAAATCTGGGCGGGCTTCAAGGTGACCCTGCAGTCCAGATAGCTTTGTCTTTAAGCACTGGAGTTTAAAACCTAAGCATCAAAGTCCATCATATTCTGGTCTCATCTTGCTTACCCCACCTAATTTCTCATTCTCTTCCCAGATTATTCTCTCCAACCAGGTCAGCCTCCTCTTCATTCCAAGAACACATGATACCCCTGCAGCAAGTGCACCACAGACCATGAGGTAAGCAATTCATGTGACTGTTTCTCTAACAGTTCCACTTCCATTTCAAGCCATGATTTTGAGGGGTTATGGAAACTCAATCTCAGTAAACACAGAATTTCCCTGTATCCAGGCCCTACAGGGTTAAGGTGAGCCAAGGCATCAAATGAAAAGCCCATAATGCCTTGGAGTCTTCTCTCCACTCTGTCCTCACCTCTTTCTCCCAAGCCTGGAGGATAGATAATTCTCTAGCTCAAGAATGGAGACAGTTTGCTTTCACTCACCCTAGCCTGTTTCTCCATAGCTTGAGTCCTTCCCCTTCTGTTAGGAGCTTAAACTTTTGAAAGTCAAAAAACAAGAGACTCTTTTCTTTCTCTTGCTACTTACCTTTCCTCAAGGCCTGCAGACCAACAGGCTGACTGCCTGAGGGAAACGGTGAAGCAGGGGTCGGGGTGGAGGGGTGGGGATGCCACATTGCCAGAAAAACATTCAGTTAATATTCAAAACTGTAACTTCAGCCCTTTTGCATTTGATCAGGTTGTGCTTCCTCCTCTTTTTCACCTATTTTGCTCTACTTTCCCTTCAAGTGTTGGTTTAATTTCTTCCCTCCTCAAAGTACTTGTTCATATTCCTTTACTATAGCCCTTTTAATTTATACCACGCAGTCTTCTGTTGAATGTCTTATAACTGCTGCAAGGCTGAAAGAAAAATCACCTCGCCCAAACCCTTGTGCCAGGTTAGAATTGCTAAGGCATCCGTGCCAAGTGTTTTGTTTAATCCAGTCGTTCTCAAAGTGATTCTCTGGACCAGTAGCATCAAGTGGGAACTTGTCATAAAATGCAACTTCTCCTGTTTCTCTCTAGATCTACTGAGTCAGAAACTATGCCGTCGGGCCTAGAACCCGTGCTTCCGGATTCAGAAGCCACTCAGGGGATACTGATGCACACTGTTAGAGAACCACTGGTTTTTTACCAACATTAGCCACTTGAAGGAGAAGTTAGCTTAATAGTAGTGATCTCAGTGTTTGAATGTCTGTTGTCTGTGCTGGAATACTTCTATGTGATAGGGCACTCATAACCTTAGAAAACAGCCCAGTCAGCTTTGGAAAACATTGACCTATGTGGCCTAAAGTCTATGTTGGTCTGATCTCTTAACCATTGTTGGTTCATGTTTAGCTTCCTAGAGCCAGAGGGAAGAAGTCAAATCTCCCATCCACATGACAGACTAAAATATCTCAAAATTACCATCATTTGGCTCTCCCAGCTCTTCTCTTATCCAGGCTCCAAGTGGCATGAGTTTTGAATCCCTCAAACTGTCTTTGTTGCACACCCCTGAACACATCCCATTTGTTTATAATTCTCTTTAATGAGCTCTGCACAGAATTGAAAGGTGTAGTTTAGGGTCTGACAAGCTATAGTGAACTGCTTATCAATCCTTGGCTTCTGATACTGAACTCCTGGTAACACAGGCTAATATGGTCTTAATGGGGTTTTGCGTGGTGTTTGTTTTGTTTTGTTTTGTTTTTGGTGGCCACATTGTTAATTCGTACAAAGCATGTTGTCAGCTGAAATTCTTTGCCGTTTTCTACCTTTATCTTGGTCTTTTTTACAGATACTAGTACTATATCATATCTCCTCTATTTTATACCCGTAGGGGAAGTTCCTTGGAAATAAGTGTGTAGTTATGTCTATTATATGTTTTCTGATTAGTTCTTTGGTGATTAACTGACACAGTTAACTTTTAGGGGAAACACATATCTCCTATCCCTTAAAGTATGTCCCAGATGGCATAAGTACTCAATAGATACTTTAGAAATTTGTAATTGATGTACTGATAGAAATTTCCAGTGCAAAAGAAGATCATAGTTTCCTTGAATTTTATAAAAGGTATTCATTTGACACTAGGTTTATTGCTTCAAGACCTACAAATTGTGACTGAATATAAAGTGAAAACACCAGTTGCTTTCGGTAGCGAACATCCAGAATTTATATACAGTGCTTTTCAAAGTTGTCCTATTGAATGATTATATTATCAGCCTGTAATCTGTCAAAATAATTTTGTAGTTTTGTCTTGACTTTAGAATCGCTTCCAGGGGTGTCTGGGTGGCTCAATCGGTTGGGCATCTGACTTCAGCTCAGGTCATGATCTCACAGCTCCTAGGTTTGAGTCCCGCGTTGGGCTCTGTGCTGACAGCTAGCTCAGAGCCTGGAGCCTGTTTCGGATTCTGTATCTCCGTCTCTCTCTGACCCTCCCCTGCTCATGCTGTCTCTGTCAGTCTCTCAGAAATAAATAAAACATTTTAAAAAATTGTAAAAAACAAAAGAATCGCTTCCAGGAGCTGCTTTATGAATCATGTAAGAAAAGTGTTCTCATTTTATAATGAATTTTTAAAATTCAAGTTGGATTTCTTCATATTGATACCCATCTGAGCCTCTAGTATTATATTCCAAAAGCCATGTGTGTGTGTCTACATAAAGGTAGTACTTGGCAGAAGTTCCATTAAAAGCTTTTCAAAAAGATTCCAACGATGGCAATATCCTTGTGAGGTGCAACTAACACATAAGTGGATATATACCTCTGTGTGTTTTCCTCTTACACTGACTTTGCCTCACACATTTCTTGCATCAAATATCTCCACCCTAAAAGAAGAAACAACAAAAAATACATATTTGACCTCATAACACAGAATTCAAACATTTGTGGATCAGAGTAACCACACTCCCTAAAATATTAGACAATAAAAATATATTCAGTAAATATTGTAAAATGTACCCAACTTGGAAAGACTGAGAACTCAATCATCAAATGAGAAGGGGCAGGAGCTTGCTTATCCAGCAAAAGGAATTGTGCTCCTTATATATGATGTGTGGGGAAAGAACTAATATTCCTAGGTTCCTGGGATATGCCAGTCATTTTACACTGAGTCCACATGAGGTAGAGCTGATTATTCCATTTCACAGTAGAGAGAACTGAGGCTCTGAGAGGATAAGTTATACAAGGGCACATATCAAATAAGTAGCCAAATAGGAACTTGGACCCAGGCCTTTGGGGCTCCAAATTCTGTTCCCTTTCTACAATTTTATATGAGGAATACTAAGAACTGAAAGATACAGTTTCTGTCCCCATGGAGCTCAGAGAACTTTATAGAAAAATATATATAAAGATAGGGATTTTTTTTCATTCTCTGTGCAAATTGAAGAAAGTCAAGTTAAAATTAAAAGTGAATTGATTGAATAAAAAGTAATTTAAAAATGGCAATGTTTAATTTTTCTAAGAGTTGATTAAAATCAAGACTTTTTCTATAAAATGGCTATTTATTTTGAAAGAAATTTAGCATATAGATCAATATTTATACACTTCTGTATATTCTTTATCATTAATCCATTTTTGGAACCTCACCTATGACAACATTCTAAATTCAGAAAAATGGAGTAAAGGTATTACTGGCTGAGTGGAAGAAAACCCTCCTGTGTTTCTCCTTTATTCCCACACTAATATTACTACACTGACAATACTTCACTTCTGATACCAGATCTGTGGGTTTTCCACACATCAAGCAATTCTGTGTTATACCCACTGGATGCCCTGTGACTCAATTTAATTCTGACACTGTCTACCTGGAGTTAGTGTCAGATTCCACAAGGTAAGGGCTCAGTCCCACAAAACTGCCCCTACTTCAGAGGTGAATCACCAGTCCCAGGTTGTCACCTGTGCTCCTGACCAAGCATCTACAAATCACAGTTCTTACAACCCTGGGTATGAATAGAGAACCAGATGAAGAAATACATAGGACAGGGTTTGGATGGGTCCCAAGATGAGGAGCTCTGTCCCCATGGAGTTGAGTTACATTCCCCTCCTGGCAGGTAAATGTGTTGACCAACCTAGAAGCTCTCCGAACCGTATGGTTTTTATGGAAGCTTCATCATGCAAGTGAAGCTGCTCTCCTATTATTTGGAGAGGGTGTGGAACTAAAAGTTCCAAGCTTCTAATCATGGCGTGGTCTTTCTGGTGACTAGACTCCACCTTGAAGCTATCCAGGAGACTACCAAGAGTTATCTCATTAGAACAGAGGCAACTCTTATCACCAGGAAATTCCAAGTGACTTCAGGAGCTCTGTGTCAAGAAGGGTCAAATACCAACTATTAAAATAGCAAGATTCTTCTAGTGCTCTTATCACTTGAACCTTTACAAGGGTTTTAAGAGTTCTGTGCCAGGTATTGGGGGCAAAGACCAGTAAATATATATTTTCTATTATTTTACACTAACCGTATTAATTAAAAACCAGGAAAGAATTAGAAACAGTCTGTATATCCAATTTATTACCTGAATGGTAGGTAAACTAGTTTGGTCGGTCTATGGGATATTATGCAAGCATTAAAATAATAATTATAAGGCTGTAACATTATAAAAATGTTTTTATTATACTAGAAAGTAACATTTGAATATATAACAAATCAATTACTTATGATTTATGTTGTAAGAAACAAAAATATAGCATAACAATAATGTAAACACATGAAATACTGATGTATTATGGTGATGGGATAGCTTTAAAAATAGCATATTTTCCAAACTCCTATGAATCTCTATTAATTTCATAATGAAGGGAAAAATCTGCAAACTTTCCCAGTATTCTTTGCTGTTGCAAGACAAATCACACTCTTTGTTTTCTAAACCTATGCCTTAATTTCAACAAAACTAGGTTTTTTGTAAACCAGTTTTGATTATGGGATAAACATAATCAAATATTTGTAGCTCAGTCTTTAGTAGTTGTCAGTAAAGGAAAAACACCACATTTGACAGTTAAATATAACCATCACAGCCTCTCTATTCATTGTGAATCTGTACAATTAAAATTTCGAAGCCATTATGGCTTCTAGGATTAGTGGTTGAGATTGGGATACACATTCAGTGTCTAGGTTTCCAGAGAAAGTACTTCCTTTCATTGGGCCCTGGGTGTGTGTACACTGTGAGATGTAGAACAGGCATTTAGAGAGCTTGCTGTTGAGATGCAAATTCTC